TCTATGCTTCCATTCTGTATCAAATGTTTAAGAAAAAGTAAATGTTTATATTCATGATGATAATCAACACGAATAAGTAATAAACGTTTATTTTTTGATTGATAATGCTCTTTGATTTTTGTTTTTAATTCGAATTCGCTCTTAAAACCGCCTATTTTTATTTCCATTACAAGACTATTGTGATTTAAATATTCGATTTTATCATAAATTTGTGTATAAGTATAAATAACTTGATTTAGAATCATTGTTTCTTCTAATGCTTGATCAATTATATTTGAAAATGAAAGTTGGTTATGTATTTTATAATATTGATCTATTAAAATTTTCAACTTGTCATTATTTATCATATGACACGACAGAAGAAGAGGAAGATCAAATGAACTCGTTCGAATCAGTTTTTCTTTGCAAAATCCAATAATAACATCTCTTTGATTTTCACTATAATCTTCAGATATTTTTAAAGAATCAAATGCATCCATAACTAAGAGGCGAACATTATCTGGATTATAATCGACAAATAGACTCTTTCGCTGAGGAAAATGCTTATTGGAACTGTATGTTACTAAACTGTCAATCCATTGCAATAGATTTGATGCAATTATGGTATAACAACGATGAATAATAGAATCTGTATCAACAACATGTTTTTCGAAACGATTAAGAAAAGGAGGATCATTTTCTATTAGATCTTTTTGTTCAGCCAGTATAATACAAAAGAAATCTTCATGAATGGGAACCCGTTGATAAGTAAGATTATCGAATGCAATTCGGCAGTACTTTCTGTGTCCTGATATGTGAAAATTTTGATTGAATAAATCGTAAAGATTTGCATAGATGTGGTCCATTCGGCGCATCATTAAAGTAATGTTTGTTTCACCATGAAGAATAATATCCATTAATACTCTTCGATTATATTGTTCACTATATGTAGTACCCGCTATTGAATCACCAGGTAAAGAACTTCCAATCAGTGTTCGTGTCCATTGTTGATTCTTCCTGATATATCGTTCCACATAATCAAGCATAATCTCACTCTCACCAATCAACATTAAATATCGACCTTTACGGCTTGTGAGAGACTGAGCTACCATTTCCGTGAATATCGGCGTATTCTCAAAGTCTACAAAGTCCTCCTGATTAGTGTAATGACAAAATCTCTGCCATAAATATTCTGAACCATCGAAAACACCGTCAAAGTTAATCGCGAGTTGCCTTCGAACGATTCTATGTGGTTCTTGTGGGTTGGGTGAATTGATTATATCACTCACAACTCCTTTAATAAGAGAATAAAAGTCTCGCAGGCCAAAGTAGTTATTGTATTCAGAGTGTTTTTTCAAGTGTTCCTGTAGATCGAAATAAGCAGCAGCAAGGTTTCGAACAACGGAATCATCGATCGCAGTATTTTTGGTTCGATCTTTGAGTAATGAGGATGAGATGGTCTCAGCTGTCAATTTAAGTTCATCTTTGTTTGGATCTGGACAAGCCAAATACAGTGCACGATTCATTTTTGCTGCATCGAGATGCCAATTCGATATACCAACAAAACCATATTTACATGTTTCAATTTCTAATTTACTATGTAAGACCTTCAACGGATTATGCGGAGATAGCTCAGCCAGGCCGATTTCGTCAAAAACTATCACAGGTAAAATGTTACTACTTGTTTCGACACCAAGATATTTCTCAGCACGTTCAAATACTTTTAGAACACTTTCAGAGGTACAGTTTTTTGAGCCTTGATATGAAACAGGAATTAACTCAGGTAATTCCTGAAAAAATGGTACACTCGATCTTTTTCCTTTGAGATTATTTAGAACGATGTTCGCAGCCAACGTTTTGCTGGTGCCAGGTTTACCACAAAGAATCACTGGTATTCGATTCAAAATGCATGCAAACAGAACGAAAATATTGTCCAAAAGTGCTCGATTTTTGGCAGTTCCTGCTGGTGATTCGATGTGGTCAATCAGTTGCTTTTGCTCATTTTGTAGTAAATCTGTTAAAAATTTTGAGATATTGGTGACATTTTTCATGTTATCTTTGAGAATTACTTCAATATGATTTAAATAAGACCTTCTCGAGTCAGAGCCACTAAGTCGAAGATAATACGTAAGAAGAAGAGCGAGTAAGCTTGCTTCATGTATCTCGTCATAATTTGAAACACGACCAGAGTGTGGTTTAACACGATAATTTAAAAACCAGTTATAAAATTGACAGAAACGAGCGACATCCCTCAACGATATACTGCTCGCATCTTCGTTTCTACGAAAGAACTGCTGCGATGCGGCCACAAGCTTCACTGTGCGATCGTACAGCGCTCCGGAACTCAAAAGTCGACCACATTTATTTAGTATTGCTCGAATGTATGCAGTTTCGGTTTCTCCATCAAGAAATCCAAAATCCCAAACATATTCAAGCATGGCTTCTGGAATAGGAAATACATGATATATGAGCGATTCTTTACCTAAATAGCTGTTTGATCGTTGAAAATCGTACGAATCCTTTTTGATGCCGATATCATCTTGAAAACAACTATTATTCTTTTTCCATCGCTGTGGATTACACGCTGCTAAAAATCGCATATTATCTGGTAACTGTTCTCCGTGAAGTGTACGTTCGCATAGAATTTCCTTAAATAGACCGATGCATGGTGTTGTATTGAATTCATCAAAAAACACCCAGAATCGTTTGTTTTTATTGTTCTTCAAGGATTCGTGTGCTTTTATTTCAAACTCGATCATTTTTTCAACAATGTTCTCATTTGTAATACCAGCATGTACACGAAAAACTACCAGTTCGTCATGTAAAATCTTTTCGCATAAACATTGTATCAATGCCGTTTTGCCACATCCTGATAAGAAAAAAAGTTACTATTCGAGTAACAATAGGGCTTCTCAGATCAGACAAACACGTTTTCGTGTGGGTTATGTAATTTATATTAAATTAATCACTTTACCAAACACTGAAATTTTCGTTATCGAAGAAGTGACGCTATTTTATCAGATATCACAGTTTTATGAATGATTTAACTATTTCTCGAAAATGTTATGTGTAATCTATACACTTGGCCACAATGCAATATGATTTAGGAGTAAGAAAATCAATGGATAGGTAGTAAATATTACCTGTTTCACCGATAAGTATAACTGGAAGGCGGCATTGTATTCGTAAATATATCAGAAGAGCTTTGATATAATTATCTGCTGTCCATACATATTCTTTCTCGAGTTGATTTGCTATTTTCATTTGAAAATCCTTGATATCCAATTCTTCAGCTGTTTTCGGTCGAAGTAATTGACTCTTATTTCCGCAGCTTGCACATGTCTGATCTGTATCTTCATATTGCTTAAAACAACTATTACAAACTGGTTTGCTATAATATTTTTTTGATAACGCTGCAAGTCTCATGAAAAAGTCTTCATGTTTGAGTTGATTATGGTCAGGAAATTGCGCTTGTTCTCGTTGTTGTTGTTCAAGCTTTAGTCTGCTAGAGAATAGAACTCGATAAAAAATATTGGCTTGAACGGGTGCTACGACTGTATCTATCAGTGAACGTGGTACATTATTGGTATTTTTATAGACAAATAATGGGTCATTCCACTCAGTGAATATAACTGTAAATGGTTGTAATTTATCCCAGCGAATAATAGCTTCATCGAGCTGAATGATACCATCACTTGCTGAACGTTGATTTTTTCGTACGGATTCAACTGAGAAAGATGTAAACTGTTTCGATGAATTTAGTAGATATTGAAGTATATCTATGCGAAGTTGGGTTGCTTTCGGGCGTTCAAGAAAAAAGTATTCACATTTAGAGAAACCCGAAAATAGATAACGATATATTGTTACTAAGATTTTTATGCTTGTCCAACTTATTTGTTTTTGGTCATCTTTAAGACTGAATTGCTCAAGCAAAAGTTTAGAACAAGTAGTTGCATCGAGTTCAACCAAGTTTTCTTCATTGATTTCTTTTTGGCTAATGCTCTTGTCTTGGATTACTTGAAGGTAGTTAGCGACCAATTGAATTCCTGGTAGACATTTCATATTCATCTGCTTCCATTCTATGTGAGAAATGTCAATTTTTTGTAAGTGCTCCAAAATGGTAAGTTTTTCATAAAGACTGGTCATTTGTGGTGATGAATCGAGCTCGATATATATTGGTGCTTCAGTCAGAAGATTAATCGCTAGTAATCCATAATGAAAACTACGAAAGAGTAAAATACAATATAGGAATTCATGCAATTTACTAATATCAAGAACGATGCCAATATCGATATGAATCGCTAGTTCTTGAGTCGGTGATTGACTTATACAAGTACGGAGACGACCAACCAAAGTTTCCAAATCAATATGGCCACTAATGGGAAATTTAAGATATTGTTTACCAGATTCTTGAATTCGGTTACGTATAAGAGTCGATTTACCAAGGCCAGCCATACTCGACGTAACAAGGTAACAGTTTTTACCAAGGAATTTTTCTGTTTCTTTCTTGAGGTCATGCTTATTCAACATTTGATGATTATATATTGGATGAAGAAGCTCGAGAGTTCGTAAACTATTAATCAATGGCTGATTTTTCTCGTCCGATGACGTGATCACTCCAAATTGAAACCGACGATCAGAGTCTAAATTTATTATTTGAAGTAGAAGTTCAATAAATTTATCTTGAATCGATACTGTTAACAGCTCAGGTCGAATCAACAGATGAAATTTTTTCGAATAAAAACATCGATAAGCAAATGCTTTTAATTCCATCCAAGTTGTTTTTTCTGTACAGCTAAACAATTGGTTAACTCGAGCTGGCACTCCAACACGCGTAAAAAGCGATAGTATAGCACGCATAACACCCTCTTCAGATGTTTTGACTACCAGAACCCTGTTATTGCCTTGGTATTTGTGCTCATTTGTTACTATCTCAGTATGGATTTGAACAGATAACAGTTTTCCAATATTTTTAAGACGATTGATTGGATCTTCTTTTATATCGATTAAAAGATCATTTGGAATCAGTTCAGGTTGTATGCCAATATACTTCAGTAAATGATAAGCATTATCAGTGACTCTGGTCCGATTTTGTAGATACTTTTCGATTGACCATACCTGATTGTATTTGAAATAGGCTAATTCAATGTGTTCTTTGTACAACTCATACAATTGATCTTCCCACTCAACTAATAGTTTTCCAATTTTTGTCTCATATGCAATTAATTCATCGAAGGTGCTATTGATACATGTAAAAGTTTTGTTTAACTCAAGAAGAGTCTCTATAGAAGGATAGCCAGTCATGTTGAGTTGTGTTAAATTTTTAATTATGTTTTCAATAGCATTAACAAAAGAGACAAATGAATATATTACACTAATAGATTGATTTGTATCATTTTGTGTTTTAATTATGTTGGAATATTCTACAAGTCGTGCACGATCCCGAAGATCAATGAGTTCATTGAAATGTATTGTCACATCATAATGATAATTAAATCCAATTAACTTTTTATTCCCTTCCTGACCCAAATTAACAAAGTTGAATGATGTATTTTTCATAATACTTAAAATTTGTTTTCTTTTCATAAGCCCCCTTTCAGTTAAACTACTGTGAATCTGTTCGATACTAGGTAATAGTGGGTGACAAGATTCGAAACATTCAAATATACTCTTGTCTTGATCATGTTTCGCAGCAGATTCGAAACAACCTACTAGTCGATCTAATACGAAATTCGGTGACGTTTCTTGTTTGCATTTCTTGATTTCACAACGGATCTTCTCTAAAAATGTCTTTAACATGACTAAATCGAGCGTTGCTTTTGTATTCATCAATGTGTCATCAGAATCATTGACAGCTTCACGTAAATTATCAATATCAGATGCGGACACTAAATCAAGAAATTGTATGAGTTCAAATGATTTACCAAAGTATGAAACTAATTTATTCATATTTGTTGAATAACGTTCATAATAATGCTTCTGAAAATTTTGATAGACCATTGAGAATGTTGCTCCATTTGTGTTGTCATCAATGCGCAGCATATCATCTGGTGTAATCTCATGATCATTGAGTTGTATTTGGAATATATTGGATAAGTTTAAATACCCTTGGCAAATATGGTTAATATCACTTGAAGATTTTTTATATTCAAATAAAAGTGTAAAAAATTTAGTGATATCAATATTAAGTTTTTGTTTTAATGGATCCAAATCATCGTGCATATTTGGAAATACTTTGAACAATTGTGAGATCGGTTGATTTTTCCAATCTGAACTAATATTTCTAACTACGTCTACGAATGTGTTGAAAAGTTCAGCAGATCTAGACAAAATCGAATGACAAGATGTTTGTGTTTCTAATGCCACTAAAATGATGACATACCAGTATTATTCTATTGATATATCATGAAAATTTAAAAGCTTACAAATTAATTTTTCTTCATTTTGTTTGAGAAAATTTAACCATTTTTGACATTTTGTATATGGGATAAGTTCACTAACGTAGTTTTGAATTCGTTGGATCGATTCAGGGACTTTAACAGAATTTACTCTGTTTTTCATCAGATTCTTCTCAATAAGCTGGATTTCATCGATAAACTTTTGTTTATCACAGGCTTTTTGGCAATATTCATTGACACAAAATCGAGTTTTCTCACAAATGCTTTTCTTATTCTCAAACTCGACATAGGCTTTCTCTAACATTACTTCAAAAGATCGCTCTCTGTTTTTAATTACTTGAATAACACCCCACATTTGATTCGCTACTATTCGTTGTTCCGCTGTTTGTTTTTTCCAAATCATTATATGATCAGCACATATTCCCTGCTGATCCCACTTGATCCACAAAGTATCCATCAGTTCAATGACTTTTTCATAAATAGATAATTTTCGAGAACAACCATGAAATAAAACATAATAGATGAGTGTTGATTTCATAGGCCGTATAACAGCATTTTCGAAAATATCATTTTCAGATATAGGAATGTTTTTCAATAATAGATCAATCAAGCCAGTCACAAGTGTATTGTTTTGTTTGTCAATGTTACTGATTTCAAACAGTCGTCTCAATGGATTATGATACGAGTCTAAGCGCTTTAAATCATCTGGTTCTTTTTCTCTTAAAATTTTGTCGACGAATTTCTTTTTGAATGCGTCAATAAAGTATTCATTTCTCACGTGAACAAGACCATTTTGAAGTAAATGAAAGGTTAATTCTAAACAAACAAGACTATCATAATGTTACCAATACTGATAAATATATTGTTAGTTGTAAACAGAGATGTGCAGAGGACACGATAGAGAAGAACGAAAAATCTTGTCCTCTGCACATATATGGTTAGAAAATCACTTTTCTAATATTTCAAAGTAAAATTTGTATCAACGTTACCTGGTTTGCAACAAATATCAACCATATGATGAACGAAGGTTTCACAGCATTTGTTTTTATCACTATTGTACGGCATCGACTGAAAAGACTCTAATAATTTATCAAGCTCTTTGAACATCGAATCGAATTTGTCATGATTTTCCTCAAAACATGATGCCCATCGTTTTATAAGTTGTTCATAGTCTTGTCGTTGTTGATCGTCATTCATTGAGTAGCTACCGTTCACAATAAAACATGAAAACCATTCACAATAAAAATGAGACGACTCGGACACATTTTTCGTTAGTGATTCAAGTAGAAACTTTTGACGGTCGAAGTTATATAATAGTTGTGAATGTGGTTCAAAATTGATGATTGTTCTAACGGTTGTAAAATTTTCGATAGTGATAGGTGTTTCATATAAGTAATCGCGAATCTTTTTTCTCAACTTATGATTACTTTTGATTTCTGAACGAATTATTTCTTCGAAATCAGCAGTGTTTTGATCGTGAATTGTTAATTCACCTTGTTCAAATTTGAGTAGAAACTCTGTACTTTTGAGATCAACTAAAAGAGCAAAGATACCGTCTTTTCAGATATGAATGAAGTAATTAACAGAAACAGTGATTTTTCTGTGATTTTTACATTTTTTTTCGATAAGAAGAAACAATTAATCCGAGTTCAAATAAAGATTTTTACAAGAAGATCAGCGAAGAATATTATATTTTTTATACATCATAATGCACTTGTATGGCACAATATCTAATCTCTTCAGGATCCCTTAAAATTCCCTATAGATTTCTTATAAAAAGAACAACTATTGATTATACAAAGAATCACACCAAATGCTATTCTGGCTTCAGTTTAACTATCATATTAAAGTCTTTGGTACCTCTGAAAAAAATTTTTGAAAGGTGTTAAATGCTTTTTAAGTTCAAAAACGAATCTTGTCATCAAACTTGGTATCCTTGAACAAATAAGATTAAACATGAATATAATCATGTTGATCTTTCCTGTCGAATAATGGTAAATGTAGATCTCTAACCAACATGTTGCTAAAACAAATCAAAGGCTTAGTATTTGCATCGCACTCAGATGTCCACTATGTTGTAGATAGTGGAATAAAGTCAACAATGGTCAATGATATCTAATAGGTACTGTACATAAGTATTCATGCGCGATAAGGGTAAATAACAACACTAATTTCAGCTACTCTATGACAGCAGTGCCGGTCTTGCTCTAAAAAGTTGCTTTTTTCTGTAACTCTCCGCCGAAGTGATGAGTGATTAATCCGAAAACTACTTTTATGTCGACTTACGTGAAAAATGGCTCTTTGCAACAAAATCTTGAACTAATTGAACAGCGCTGCTCTCCCCACCGACATTTTTCGGTTGTGTTGTACTTGCAATTGGAATCAGATAGTTCAAATAAGCTTCGATTGATGTAATTAGTTCAAGATGTTCGAGACTAAGTTGATTTGGTCCAGCTAAGCTAAATAATTCAGTCCATTTTGATCCTTTAATTGGACTGTTGATTTGAACAAGTAATTTCAACATGCCACTTACGACTTTGTGACGCTTTTCTTCCTGTCGGATACGCCGTATCAATTCAATAGTTTCACCACTTGTATCCTTCTTATTTTCTATGAACTCTGTTGTCAACCATAATTTCAAACATAAGAATGTCGCAACAGAATTTTCGAAGAAGTCGAAATCGTCACGAGACACTGAATCAATAACACCATCACAATGTTTGAAAATACTACTCAAGATACATGGTACGTGCTCCTTTGAACTTAAATGAATTATGTCAATATTATTTTGATTAATACGTAAGATTCCAATCATTCGAATCAATGTTTCAGTATCAGTCACACATCTGTTCGAATCTTTCATGATACAAGAGATGTAATTATTGCTTGTTCGAAAGAAAGTACTGAGTTGATCCCTACGGAGGTCATTATCGGGACGTAAATGTATAAATTGATCGAAAATAAACTTGCAAACATCGTATGTTTGATGCTGAATAAAGAAATAAGTAAATAAGCAGAGTTGATCCCAAAGTGGCACAGAAGATCCTAAATAAAAGAGAATCACACGTACTTTCGTTGTAGTTGAATCATGATTTTTCTATTGTTTTTGACAAAATCCTACCTGGGGGATTCAGCATAAATGATTTCTCGAAAACAACATCGAGTAGTGCATAATGCCAAACTGTTGCTTGCGGGTATTCTACTTGACGCTGGTTCGATGCCTTAAAGTGTTGAGTTCCAATCATTTTCCACAGGATACACAATTCATAAGAGTTTACTCGCCTCCACATATTTTCATGTTCTATACTAAGCGTACTATTTTCGTCACGTTTTAGAGTGTATTGTAATTGATATATAAATATACCAGTGTTATCTTGATCACCGAGCAATGCACAGGGAATAAAATCGAGCTTGATGTCATTGTCAAATATTGCCTGAATTTTGAAATGGTCGCTGTTTTTAGCATTACGAAGAATATATAAATGAACTTCACAAGTCATTAATAGTCAGAGTACCTTTTGAAAGAAAACAAACAAATAGTCTGTAAGCGTCTTTTTATCAAAGATCTCTTTATATAAGCAGAAAAAGATGTTTAAAAAAGAACAAGTAAATATACTAATAGATGTTTCTCTTATCATCTACATACATGAAGTGACTGAAGCTATTCTTATTACTGATAAAGATGCATACAGTGAAGCGCGTTCTTAAGATTTTGTCCTTTCTCCTTTCATCTACTTTACCACTTTTTATTTAGATATAATTCTCTTTTCATCTAGAAGCAAAACAAAGAAAGAGATATCATCCAAGAGTTTATTTTCCTATTGACTTATTTATACCTAATAGATAATAGAGCATTGTTATTTTGTAATATGGAATGAAAAATAAAAAGAACACAATAAGTCCAAGTTCGAATTAGTGTGATAGCGATCTAGATACATGTCAGTTTTCGTTTCATAAGGCTACAAAGGCAGAAAATATTCTACGAAGTGTATCTGCATGCGACTCATGCTGAGTCAGTCAACATATATACAGAATAAAATCTGATAAATTTTCTACCGTACTTGTTTGGAAATGAGGTGGCTAAAGTTGATAAGCACAATAAATATAAAGCATCTTTCTATGCTCTTCAGGTGAACGAAATTTGGGTGCACTTCTTAAAATAAACGAACACTCAAAAAGCAATACGTTCCACTATTTCATGAACTTTATTTTACTTCTTGATGTCCCAAGAAATTTCATACTTTACATGTTACAGGAAAGAATCAAAATCTCTGGAAAGAAACAATTTTTTGAAGTTATATGCGTCATTCACTTTATTTAATACTTGAACGCAATAAGAATATGTAAAAAGCCATACAGCTAAAAGGAAGGACGCTTCTACAAGAGAAATATTCATATCATACAACTGAAAAAATTTTTAAATGCAGTCACATGATGAAAACACTGCAACATATAATTCTAGCCACTGCGGCGAAAATTCACTACAGACCATCCAAAACCATGATTTCGACCATAATGTCAAATGATAAACAGGACTTTCAATATTTCAACACCACTAAAAACGAAGCATCCGAGACTGAAGTTCGACTGGTCATTATAGATAAGCTGGTAGTAGTTCAGCGCATTGAAACTTGTACAACACCAGTGGTTCAAAGATTTTTTCATCAAAAGCGCCTTGATAAGTCATCTTCCGACATATTAAGATAGTAAAAACATGGATTACACGATATTGCCGCGCACGACACTTTGGTGCCAAATTTTCAACAGAAGTCAACATCATCAAACGCCTTTCTTCAATTTTGCGAGTCCTCGCACTATTTGAAT